TTTTTTGGATCAAAGGCCATCTTTTTTCCACACCACTCAATGCTAAATCCCAAGGAATGTTTGTGAATAAAGAAACCACATCTAGCGATATTAGTTCAAATGAAGGATCAAAATTAATGTCAGGAAGGATTTTAGACAAATGAACTTTTTTGATTTTTAATCAACGCAGGCGGAAGAATGCGTAATAGGTATAAACCTAGTTTTTTTNAATTTGTTGGAACACATTTTGGTCATTATATGGTCAAAAATATGAAGAGTTGGATCAGATTAAACAGGGAGATCATTAGAATACGTATACGAATTCGTTTCCTTGTGACATGCAAACATCAAAACATTCTACCGAAGCATCTTGAGCATTGTTTTGCGCATGTGTCCTTCCATAATCGTGATACAAAATACATGTTTGATAACAAACGTATCCAGTTTGCTAAACGTATTCTGAGACTTGAATTATATGATTTATACAAGCAAAGGAATATGATAGGTCGAGAAGTTTCACATATTAGTAAATTTATTTACCGTTTTTTGCCGACTTTCTTGTTAAATTCCTTTTTTATCACCCAGGATAATGCGTTGAACAAATTNTATGACAATGTTAATGGAAGGATGATTAAAAAACTTGAATGGTTATTAAAGAAAAATTCCGATTTCATGTTTCTTAAAACATATAATTTGAAATATTTNGCAGTTGAAAATGAAAAAAGGAATGGTTCCGTTCAACCACCTAATCATATGAGACACAATAATTTCAAATTTTCTTTCAAAGAACCGCCGCAACAAGAGGAAAAAAACATATGTTCAATTAACATCAAACCAGATAACATAGTTTCTAAACAACTTTTAGAGATAAGAAAGGGTTGGTTTGTCAATTTGTCACAAGAACATATTCCTGATTTAGTTGTAGGTTTATTACAATTAGGCCAAAATTTTNGTTTGCCGATTGGTAATATTAATAACAAATTGATGTTTGAATTTATTAAACATTTAGAAAATAATTTTAAGAACCTCAACAATATGCCTAAAAATGATATTATTGATTGTCGAAATAAATGTATTTCCATTTTAAATAAGATGAAACATGTCTCGCAACCAAAACAAAATGTAGATTTAGAATTGTTAAAAGCCTACAAAACAACAAATGACTTTGTTAAAAATCATCCTTCCATACTTTTTACGAAAGCTGACAAGGGAGGGGCGGTTGTAGCGATGGATAGACAAGATTACATAAAAAGAATGGAGAGTTTACTGTCTGATAGTTCCACGTATATAAACATTAACAAAAATCCGATCAATAAGGTTTTGTTAAGTCTTAAAGATCTTATTAATAGATGGAAAACACGTGGCTATATAACTGACATTTGCCATAAGTCACTAAACTCTTCGTTAGCGATTTTACCGAGAGCTTACGGTGTTCC